TTTTTTTTATCGTTTGCTTCTCAGCTGGGACTAGGAAAGGGTGAGTGAGGGTCGATTTGAATCGAATAGGCACATGGCGCATCCAGCATGTCTGCCACCGCGCCCGCACCACACGTTCAGCCTGCGCACAGTGGAGAAGCTGCACCAGCGTCACCTGGAGAACACCGGGGCGCATGTGCGGCCGGAGCAGATCCCCGCCTACGTGGAGGACGTGCGACGCAATCTTGCGCGCGTGGAGGAGGCGCTGCAGTACAGGCTGCAGCGCCCTGCGCCCGCTCAATACGGAGGGACGGAGCAACACCCGCTACTCTCCAAATTTGAACGCATCCGCGTTGGACAAATACTGGCGGACGTGGTGCTTGATGTCGCCACCATCTCTATCGCAAGCAGTAATGAGACATACGATGCGGTGGTGAACACCAACACTGCGCTTTCGCTCTTGACCTCCCGCGTGGGCCCAACGCCACTCCTTACTTGTGACGCTGACGAGCTTTTACAGCCACAGCAGCCTCAGCCACAGCAGCAGCAACGTGACAGCTCTACAGAGACGGCGGATTTACCTGCGTCGCCCCCACATGTTTCCGAAGGGCAGTATCCGTTTAACTCCACACTTCAGAATCCAGTGGCCCTTCCACCACCACCACCACCACCACCAGCACCACCAGCACCACCAGCACCACCAGCACCAGCACCAGCGGCTGCAACAGCGAGAGGAACATCACCAACAGCAGCTACAGTGGAGTCGCAGTGTGCCGAGAAGACTATGGGCGATATGGAGAGGCATATGCAGGAAGGTGCCGTGCTGCCGCCGATGGGTGTGTGTGGTAGTGACGGGGGCAGCGACATGTCAGGGACAGGGCCTGGTCGCTCCATCACTACGCCACCTGGATGGCACCGCGTGACACACAACTCCTCGCCCACCACAGAGCGGATTCGAAGAGCGCCGCAGAGACTCCAAAGTCAAAACACGATGGCCAGCGTGGATAGCCATGGAAACAGCATTAGCAGCAGGCGTGCGCGATTACACGAGGCTTCCCACGACACGGTGACGTGTCAGCACCCTCTGACGCACAGCGAGTCGCCACTCTCGCCGTCGTCGATGCGCTTCAAGCCGGTACTCTCGATGCACTCGGGGGCAGAAAGCTCAACGGCGTGCCCACCGCCACAGAGGAGACCTCGCAAGTATTATGACATTGATTTCCAAAAACTAGGAGATTTCACGCGATGTCTCCGCGCAGTGCAGCGACTTAGCTTCAGTGACAGCGATTTTGAGGGAGTTGGCTTACGGTACGCCATCCCGGGCATTCGGGAGTTGGACCCCAGCGAGGTACGGTCCTTCCTTGAGCGCATGTACGAACGCCCTAGCTTCCTCGGTGATTCCTTGAATCGAACAGGGGATGACGACTTTGTGGTGAAGCGCACCGTTTCGCTGACGAGCACTGGAGGTGGTACAGAGGCAAACGGCCGCAGCACCCACCTCACGCAGAAGGAAAGCACCACGAGCATATGTAACACACCTCCCCCCACAGTAATCGACCTGCAGCTGCTCGACCACGAGGTAACAAATGCGACGCGTGTGTCTCCTTGCAGGTCCCCTACGCCGCACCGACTTGCGGGGCAGCTCACACCACCGAGTGAAAACGGGGCTTTCTCGCTGTCACAGCCGTTCTTCAAGGATCACTGCCTACCACTCTTCCGTGGTGGAAAGGAGACCGTTGTGCAAAAAAAAGACCTGTACATTTTCCTTGCCATGGTCGACGCAAGACTGAAACAGATTGATCAAGAGGTCGATGGGCGACTACATATCGCTGGCGCTGATTTGGCATCAAGCAGTGGCGAAGAGGACACACATTATGCCCCCTGATTGAATGCATCCTATACATTGCATCTTCTTTGCGTACTTCCAATGAGGGGACAGCGGTCTTTGTTGTTGCTGTTGTAGTGGTCAGTGCTCTCACGCCTCCTCACCATCTTTTCGCTCTTGACTCCCCTTTTTCTCTCATGTGTATACAAATATCTGGACCCTTTGAAGGCCTCATTTCGCTACAAGACAACATGACTGCTCGCCCATCCGTCAGCGTGTACTCCGCGTCGGAGGACAAGGTTGTGGGCACCTGCCCGCTGCCTGCTGTGTTCACGGCACCCATTCGTCACGACATTGTGCAGTTCGTGCACACGAACATGGCGAAGAACTCCCGCCAGGCGTACGCTGTAAACCGCCTCTCGGGCATGAAGCACTCCGCTGAGTCGTGGGGAACTGGCCGCGCGGTTGCGCGTATTCCCCGTATCGGCGGTGGCGGCACGAGCACATCGGGCGCTGGTGCGTTCGGCAACATGTGCCGTGGCGGCCGCATGTTCGCGCCGACAAAGATCTTCCGCCGCTGGCACCGCAAGATCAACCTGCACCAGAAGCGCTTCGCCGTCGTGTCGGCACTCGCCGCGTCGTCGCTGCCGTCGCTGGTGATGTCTCGCGGCCACAAGATCGAGAATGTGGCAGAGGTGCCGCTGGTGGTGGACGACTCTGTGCAGGGGTACGAGAAGACAAAGGAGGCGATGGCGTTCCTCAAGGCGATCGGTGCGACTGACGATGTGAACCGCGTGAATGACTCGCGCCAGATCCGCGCCGGCCGTGGCAAGATGCGCAACCGCCGCTACGTTGCCCGCCGCGGCCCGATGCTGGTGATGCCGGACAACAAGGGCACCCGTGCCTTCCGCAACATCTTTGGTCTGGACCTCGCCAACGTGAACGCGCTGAACCTGCTGCACCTCGCCCCCGGTGGCCACGTGGGCCGCTTCATCATCTGGACGAAGGGCGCGTTCGAGAAGCTCGACAGCATCTTCGGCACCTTTACGGAGGCCTCCTCGGTGAAGAAGGGCTTCATTCTGCCTGCGCCGATGCTGACGAGCACGGATGTGACACGCATCATGCAGTCGGACGAGGTGCGCCGTGTGCTGAAGCCGAAGAAGCTGCAGCCGAAGAAGCCAAGCCGCTACACGCAGCCGAAGAACGGTATCCGCAACCGCCGCCTGCGCCTGCGCCTGAACCCGTTCCAGAAGAAGGAGGCTACCATGGCGAAGGGGCTGCGCAACAAGAGCAACCGCGACGCTCGCCGCAAGGCGAAGGCCACGCGCCTGGCGAAGGCCAAGAAGAGCGTTGCCACAAAGGCGAAGAACGCCAAGAAACAGTAAGGCCTGGGCGAATGAGTGCCATGATGGTTAATGGTTAATTTATGTTTTTTTTTCCATTGAAGTGTTTGGCTGTCTTTGCTGGGGACGCCCTTTGCCTTATTATGTGCCTTTGACTTCTATATCAAATGGTCTTTTTTTCCCTTTGGCCATTCGTTGCTTTCTCGGTTGTGGTCGAAGCGAGTCTTGGCGGTTCTCGACTTACTTCCAGGTGTCGTGCAGGTGCCTTGTGCTAGAAGACAATTCCGAGGTTGGGGACGTTGACAAAGATGGCGGACTTCCCGAAACTACCACGTGTGAAGGTAGATGATGAGAATATGGAGAAGATACACTGTGGAGCGAGGAAGGGGCAGACAGAGGAGGTAAAGCGACTGGTAGAGCAGGGCGTCGACCCTGCCATCCCGAACAAATTCGGCTGCACCGCCCTCCATCTGGCGTGCAAGTTTGGGCAGCTGGAGACGGCGAAGTTTCTTGCCACCATTTGCGACGCACACGGGTCGTGGCACGGGCAGAGACCGCTGCACCTCGCTGTGCTTGCAAACAATGTGGAACTTGTGGAGGCGCTCGTGGCGGGGGCGAAGGACCGTGGCCGCAGTGTGGAAATCATGCTGAACGAACACGATGACTTTCCCGTGGATGAGATTGGCGTCCACCAGAAGCACACGGATGGACAAACGGCGCTGCATTGGTGCGTGGCGCTGGGTGAGGACTACACACCGATGTTGAAGGTTCTTCTTAAGCTTGGCGCCTCTCCAACGACAAAGAACAAGGAGAACGTGACGTCGTTGATGTACGCCATTGAGTTTAAGAATGAAGAAGCGATGGAGCTGATGCTGTCAGGTGTGAAACCGCAACAGCTGCGGCTTGACTACCAGGATAAGGAAGGTAACTCACACCTACACTACGCCATCCTCTTCAACCGCGAAGATTATGCCATGCGTTTCGTAGAAATGGGACACGGTCTGGAGATTGAGGATGACCACCATGTAACACCACTTTTTCTTGCGCTCCGGGCCGCGATGCCGCAACTCCTGGCATATGTGTTGCAGAATGTGGACCCCTTCTCCGTACAGCAAGCCCCTTTCCACAACGGCTCGACGGTGATGACAGAGCGCATTCAGTGGCTGCCCTTTGCAACTGACGAGCACGCGCAAACCGAGTGTGTCAAGCTATTCCAGAAGCGGCTAGACGAAGTAAGCTTCAAGCCGGAGGCGACCGAAAAGAAAAAGAAGTCGAAGCCGACATTGAAGAAGATGAGTTTGGCACCTTCCGCTCCGGTTCGGAGCCGAAGCATCGGAAACACCGCGGCGGCGCGGAACCGGAGCCGAAGCGTTGGAAACCGCGGACCTGCAAAGTAGTACAGCGTCTTGCTTCCAAGGGAATATAACCAAACAAGAGGATATTAGGGAGCCTCGGGGCGTTCGCGGAGTGATATTTTTGATGAGGGGATGAGGGTGCATTAAGACCTGCTGCTGTGTGATGTATGAAAAAACCCCCCTGTGGGGGCATCTTCTGTACCTGCTTCTGATGCTCCTCCTCCCGTTTGCGTTGTGTGAAGTCATGGCGAGACGGTTGCATGTAAGCGAATCTGTGATGAGCGAGAAGAAGAGGAGAGCAAAAACACAAGGAGGGAAGTATAAAAAAAGCATCAGTGGCCTTATGTCTTTCCTTTTGAAAATAAAGGCATTGCCGTTCCGTGTTTGTTTGTTCTCTCTCTTTCTGTGTGTGTGTGTGTGTGTGCCAGTGTGTCTGTCTGTACGCCCGTGTGTGTGTGCTTGGGACTGTAGTAGTGTCGTACTTCATTCTTACTCCCGCTTCGCCTCCATCTGCCTGAAAAAGTGAAGTTTAGCCTACGGTGGGACCGCTGCCTGCCGTGCAGAGGGGTGGGCTCTCGTGTCATCGCAACGACAGAGCGGTGAGGTACGCAGCAGGTGTGACGTTACACATCGGCTCTGAGCGTGACAGCTGGGAAACGCAGCAGAAGCAACAGTAACAGGCTACGGCAAGAAAGGAGGAAAAAAAAAAGAAAACCATCGACAAAAGATAATTATCCATGGCCTTCAATCCGATTTCTATGGATGACGATGGTGCCATGGCGTTTGGTGGCGCGCGGCGCGGCGACGGCATGGATGCCTACACCGCCCCTGAAGGCGGCGAAGGCCGTGCCTCCATCGGTGGCGTTACCATCATCGACCCCATGATGACAGCGGGGGAGGTCATTCGAAGATGTAAGCTGCAGTACTACTTTGAATTCTCATGGCAGGTGCCATTCCCACAGGTGCCTGCCGCCCCGCTGTTGTACTTCCCAGAGGCGTTCGGTGAGCTGCTCAACGACCCCACGCCGTTGGGCGTAATGCAGGCGGAGTTGGATGCCATGTCGGAGGGTGTGCTGGAGCGCATTCCACTAGCGTACCACCTACTACACCCGGAGGTGGTGGAGGAGACGCGCCAACGCGCAATGAAGTGCGAGCAGCTTGTCGAAGAGATGCAGCAGCAGGCGCTCGCGGCGGGGTTGCCGGAGAGGTTGACGTGGCGCCCAGAGGAGGTGAACCCACACCTTGAGCCGGCCGACGCGGAGCTGCTGGACACCGACATTGATCTCCATATGGTCCTTGAGCGCGACAAACCATCACTTACGCTGCTGCAGCGTCCTTTGTACACCGATATGGGGTTGGTGCCGCAGGAGCAGCGGCATTTGGAGCGTCTCGCCCGCATCGTCCCTGACGTGCTGCGAAGCCAGGTGCAGTCGTCGTCTTCACAGAAGCCGCAACAGATGGGGGAGCTGCTTAGTCTTCCAGGACAGCTTGGTACGCCTATTCACGCAACAGAAGACTCAACACAAGCAACCTTTAGCCGCGGGCAGCAAGGAGACGAGGCCTCAAAGCGGTGGCTGGATGGCGTTCGTAAGTCTTTCCGTTTTGCCCGCACGCTCGACAGTCACTATGAGAAGCTTCTTGAAACTTTGGCACGAACGAAGCTTGGGTTAGACAGCAAAAATCAAGCGGCAATTAAGCTTACACGCCGCCTATGGCACCTGCTGTTTGATGGTACGAAGAAAAATCAACAACGTGACGTGTGGCACCAGCTGTGTCGATTTTCTTCCAACTACGATGGTCGTCCCGAAGCCGCCGACTATTTGGAGCGTGCCATAACGTCTCTCAATTTACCTAACAGCAAGATGTGGCCCGAACTGCTACAGGAGTACACTGAGCTGCTCAAAGAGTACACATCAGGCCTCCAGGGAGGGGCTGACAAACGCAAGGAGCAGCTACAGATCAGCGGAAAGGAGCTAGACCCGTTCGAGCAGGGCGCCTTCGAGCCAGACCTGCAGCCTGGTCCAATGCTGCGCCGTGTGGGCAAAGAGCTTGGCTCCAATCGCCAGCCGGCGCCAATCTTTCCCGTGGAGGTGGCACCGCTGTACCCCGCTGGCTGCGACATCGCCGCGGCGGCAATGACGGCGGGGAGCGATGGCGATGCGGCACAACTGGGCGAGTTGGCATCAGAGCTGCACCACGTGGTGCTACCCGGCGCTGTGGTAAGCGAGGTGTCTAGGGTCAGTGGGCCCCACGCGCTGGTGAACAACACCAACCTGCTTGTCTCTGATAAGCTGAGCGGCCGTCACCTTAGCGATGGTGTAACCGTCAGCTACCACACCTCGCGTGAGAACACATTTGAGCCGCTCGTCTCGGATGAGAACAACACGAGCAGCTATCTCTTTCAGTTGCGCAACGCGCAGCAGGACAACACAGAGAAGAGCGCCGCGCCCGCAGGCCTTGCCAATGCCGATGGACGGCACGTGATGTACCGCCGCCTCGGCATCCGTAATTTGTTCGTCAAGGCACCAAATGCGGAGGCGCCACCTTACGAGCGCTACGTGCTGATGTTCAACGAGGAGGGGGAGCACAAGCGGCACCGCGAGTCCCAGAGCGATGCGGAGGAGCCTCGGGCCGTCATGCAGCGGGTTGAGTAACGGTAAGAGAGAAGAAGCAAGAAGGATNGGGGGAGAACCACGTGCTTTCAGTGCTCCTATTGCTCCTCCTCCTCCTCCTAGTGTTCCTATTATTATTATTATTATCATTCCTACCACTGTTGCTGCTGCTGTTGCTGCTATGGACGGTGGAGGGACGATGGGAAGTGACAAACTGAGGCAGAGAAGAATGTCAAGGAAGGATGAGAAGGAAAAAGAAGACTCTGTGCGGTGTATTGAAGAGTAAGAGAAAGACAAAGGCGAATGGCGACAGGAGCCATTACGTGTTCTTGATAAGGCCTCTTCATGTTTCTTTTCTCGTTTTTTTTTGTTGTATCCTCTTGGTTGGGGCAGGAGAGGGAAACGGAAGTGGTCGTATCAATTTATATAAAACTGTACATCTTTTCTTTTGACTTTCTGTGTTTGGCCGTGCATGCGCGTTCTCTTACTTACGGGAAGTTGCACTCACATCGAAGTATACAAGAAGAGCTAGAGCAGGACTCAGCGCAACTGCTTGGTGGGGCACGAAGAAGAGAGAGTCCAANCGCGGTTTCCCATAGCCAAAAGAAAAGAAAAGGCAGGGACAGTCGAACAGCCTGACAGACCGAGAGGGTGGTACAGACAGAAGCATGCCGATCGTGTCGACGCTCGCAGGGGCCTCCTTGCCGACGATGTGGAAGAAGGGGAGTGAGGTCAACAGCTGCGACAGCTGCTGCTGCAGCTGCCATCAGAGGCCGACAAGGATGGCGGCGTGCGCAGGAGGGGGGCTTACAAGGGAAGATATTATGCAACGGCAACAAGCTGCAAAGACGCAGAAGCCGCCACCATCTGCCGTGCGACGCACGCCGTTCCGCTCGTTGAACGGGCGTGCGTACGCTGTTCCTCTCACCATGATCAAGGAGTTCGACGCCGTCTTCCAGCAGGCGCAAAACAGTGCCGCCCCACAGGACAGGACGAGCCCTCTCTTTTTGCCATTAAATTCACCCGGTATTCTGTGGCGGCATGATCCGTACAGCACACGGGTGCTCAGCGCGACTTCACATTCCCCAGTGAACCGGTTTTCAACTACAGAGAAGGGCGCGGGAGTCGCACCGTACGAGGGTGGCCGAGGTAGCGGCTGTGGCGGCTGTGGCGGCTGTGGCGGCTGTGGCGGCTGTGGCGAAGGAGAGCCGACTGGCTACTGGAATGGTACTGGCAATCCTTTCACTGCGTGCGACAGCGCCGCGTTAAATTCTGTGTGCGCGTTTACCCCTACATCAGCACCTCTCGGAGCCGTGCTGTGCTTTCCTGCAACAGGGGGGATGCGCATTCCCGGTGTGAATTCCGCTTTCTCACAGCCCTATGACACCACACCACTTCTTCACCAGCATTACACAGACCCTTACAACATCGTTGCTGCGGTTGCTGGCGATTGTGGAGAGCAACTCCGAAACCAACAGAGTACCGTTGAGTCCATCATGCCGTCTTCTCGACCGCTTCCATCCGCGCCCAGTCACTGTGTTATAATTCGCTCCCCCTCACAGCTCACGACGTCCGCTGTTCCTCCAGACGCGGCAACAGGAAGCAGAAGAGTGCCAGCTCCGGCAACGGCAGAAACGACAGCACCTACAGCAGTGCAAAAGTTCGACAGTTTCCAAGCGGGGCCGCGAGGCATCACACCCCTTCGTACGCATGGCCCGCGAGGTGCCCGAAGTGGGAGCACCGACCACAATGGCGAAGAGCTGCTCGAGGATTGCCTCCCGACACTCTCCATCTTCCGTTCCCTCCCATTGCTCTTCATCGATCTTGCGGCGCACACCAATCGGCGCCCGCCGCAACTTGGAAAAATGAGAGATGAGAATGGCAGCCAGCTACGGCTGGAGGAGGTTCGCTTTGTATTCCTCGTCGGCCACCGCTGCAGACGCACTGTGTGTGCTGCCACTCTCCGGTATGAAGTGGGCGAGATGGTGGTGCTCGAGGGCGACATGGGCATTGAGATGGGTGTTGTGCAGGCGGTGCTGTCTGTGGAGGAATTCGACCAGCTTGGCGACGCGGAGTTGGAGCAAAGCGGCTTCCCGGCTGACCGCGACGTCGTGACGGCTGCGTTGATTCTGCGCCACGCCACTGCGGAGGAGGTGGCGCACTACAACCACACTCTCCTTCTCCTTGCGCGGGACCTGCTGGGTTTTTTGCAGCACCGCCTCAACCCCGCCAACTTTGTGGACTGCCGCGTGGCGAACATGGAGTTTCTTGACTGCGAGTTCCAGGCGGACTGCAAAAAGATATATGTGTACTACAAGGCGAAGAAGCGTGTGCTCTTCCGTGAGCTGGCGCAGTATCTACATTCGTTCTACCGCTGTCGCATATGGCTGCACGAGGTGGGCAAGAGAGCCTCCGCCTTGTCGGGCGACTCCTCGCAAGAAACAGAAGGCTGACCGGCAACACCGCCCCCACCAGCGTCCTCTCACCTCTGTGCACAGACTACTTGACGGGGAATGCCCTTCACAGTCCCAAGAAGGTGCTCTTTAATTTTTTGTCCATTTTTTTCCTCCCCCTTTTTTGCTGCTATTGTTTCATGCGTTTTTATTTATTTATTTTTTGTTTTGTTTTTCGGGTTGCTTTGGCCAACAACGCCCCTGGTGTATGTCGATATTTCCATTTATATTTATTTACATAACGCTGACGCCCCCCCCCCCCCCCCCNGCTCTGCGAGCCTCAGGCGTGTGTGGTTGTGGGATGGCGTCAGCTGCACACACTGGGAGTAGCAGTGCGTGCATGTGTGAGGATGAAAGCAAAAAGAAAAACAACGATGGCGGGGAGGGGCAGGAAATGCAGACGCTGCGTGCAGCGGGTTTGAGGGGGTGGATGCGTGACGGTTGCTTGCTTGACTGACACCTCGCCGCTCCTCCCGCCCTCACGGCGTCTGCATCACGCACCTTCTCGCATTCACTCCACACAGTCGCTGTCAGTGCAGCGGCCGTGGCGCTGCGGCACAAGACGGCAGACAGAATGAATCGAAGAGAGAGAGTGTGTGTGGGGGCGGGATGTGTCTCGTGAACAGAGCGAGGGGAGTGAAGAATAACGCAAGAAAGATAATTGAGAAGCGCACGGAACAAGCTGAAGGGCTCGACAGAGAGAAGCAGAGGGGTGAGGTCAGGGAGGCAATCAAGACAAGAAAAAACGACCGAATAATGAGGACAAAAGATTGGGGCGAGGCAGTGATGCAGGGAAAGGCCCAGGTGAATCAAGCGGTGAGGGAGATGTTGCATGTATGCCTCTCTGCTGTCGTGAGGACGTAATGCCTCCCGGTTTTCTTTTACTGTTTCGGTGTTTCCGTTATCGTTCGTCTTTGTATATATGTGTTCTGTGCTTTGTGTCTTTTTTCCCGAGATCGGTGGCTCGCTTGTAGGCTGTAAGCGCGATTGTTTTCTGGCCATTCTTCAGATATTTATGAAAAGTGCTTGTTGTCATTCCTTTTTTTTTATTTTATATTTTTCTACAGATGCCTTGCGTTTCTTCATGACCTATTTATCCTCTTTTTTTGGTTTCTCGTCTATATATATATATATATATGATCTATTTTGTGTTGTTTTGCTCGGCTTTGTTTCCTCTGCTGCTGCTCGGGCGGTTGACGCACACTTCCGTTAGCTCCTTCCGTTCCTTCTTCCTGTGGGCGTCCCCGCCCCTCTGGGGAGTGCCACACACACACACACGGACACACAAACACACACACACAGGGGGAGAGAGAGAGAGAGACGGGAATACAATGCAGGGCCGCGCATGCACAGCTAAGTGCTGACGGGGCCTCAGTGACGCGGGGACAGAATCCGTCTATCATTGGGTCGTTCACATCGAAGAAAGTAAAACGAAAAAAAGGACAGACTTGCTGTGTGGCAGATATGAATGAAAACACAGAGGAAGAACAAATGGACGAAATGTCGTGAAGTGGCACCACAGACGTGCGGATTCTTTTTTTTGGTTTCATTACAGAAACAGGTATTCAGGAAAATACCGGGTTTGCGTCTTTTTCAGGTCCACCCCTCATTGGCTTTACATCTAATATGTGGTGACGACTTGTGTATCAACTTGTTTCCTGTTGGCGCACCTGTGCTACACTCGCGGCGTCGTATTTGATGTGTGTCTTTTCCCTTTTTTT